TTCATCTGTTTTAGACGTATGTTGCAAGTGTTTCATTTGAATGTTGCAAAACTAGATTGGGATGTTACATATATATGCAAGTGTTTTTCGGTGTTTTTATACGTATGTTACAAGTGTTTCATCTTGATGTTTGCAATAGCTACACATGTGTTTTCAAGTTTTTTTAGTGTTTTGCAAGTGTTTCAGACGTATGTTGCAAGTGTTTCAGCTGTTTTAGACATATGTTGCAAGCGTTTCATCTGGATGTTGCAAAAGTAGATCGGGTGTTGCATATGTTGCAATGCGCGTGAGAAGGGGATAGGGCGCGAGCGGTCCCTGCGCGCAGTCTGGCGGCGTGGGTGAAAGCCCTAGTTTGATTTTGGATAATTGATGAAACATATGACTAACCTTTGATCTAAGTGAGTGAATTAGATAAGGTGGCCCAATCCAAGTTGTGGAGCAAGTTAGAGGTCCGTGGTGATGAAGGTGAACATGGAATGAAGACGATCATGCTCCAACTTGGAAAAGAAGAAAGAGAAAAACAAAAACCAAGGAGATCAAGGCAAAGGTATAAGATATGTTTTGTTTTTAGTGATCAAGACACTATAGAGAGTGTGATCACATTTAGGATCGATAGCCGTACTATAAAGAGGGTAAATCTTTGGCTAAGCGGTTATCGAGTGCCACTAGGTGACATTGTTCTTGCATATGCATTTAGGAACCTAGTGTGCTAACTTTAACCCTTGTAAAATGCTTTGAAAAATGTTAACACACATGCACATAAGTTCTACACTTTGTGGTTAGCAAGTTGGAAGAAAGGGCGAAGTGGTTGTGGACTTAGAAAAAAAAGGAGGAGACTGATGTGACCGGACGCTGGCCACATCCTGACCGGACGCTGGCAGCCAAGTCTGGTCATTTATAGCTGTGACACAATGACTGGCCGAGGAAGGACCGGACGCTGTCCCTGGCTTCACCGGCGCGTCCGGTCACTTTTTGCGAGGAGGAGCTTTGGCGCGACAGGACGCGCAGGGGCCGCGTCAGGTCAGCGTTGACGTATGCTAGCGTCAGCTCCGCGGGCGCGTGCGAAGGAGAAGTGTATTGACCGGACGCAGGGGCGTGTTAGGTCATCGTTGACCGGACGCATCCGGTAAGTAAAAGTACGCTCTGAAACCTCTCTGTAAACACCCTGACTCTGCTTCGTGGAGCGTCAGGTCGCTCGAGCGGTGCGTCCGGTCCTAACTTGAGTGTACGCGCGATCAAGAGATGACCATTGAAAATCGGTGGACGAGATTCAAAGCGTTGACACATGGATGGTCGAGGGCGATCGGACGCTGGCCGACCGGACGTTGGCGTGCGTCCGGTCAGCCTGAGAGCTCCCAACGACTCTCTGAGTTTTGGGGCTCTATAAATAGGAAGGTACCGGCTTAGGGCTCACTCTCTTGGCACTTTGACATACTTGGCATCCTTGTGAGCCTAGGCAAACCTCTTCCACTCATCTTCATCATTGATTCATTATCGTAGTGAGATTATGAGTGATTCCAAGTGTATTTGCTTAAGTGATTGCATCTAGTGGCACTTGGGGATCGTTGTGGCTGTGGATTTCTTGTTACTCTTGGTGGTTGCCGCCACCTAGACGGCTTGGAGCAGCAGAGGAGCTTCGGCACGTGTTGGTGATTGTTCGTGGCCGGCTCCGGTGATTGTGAGGGGTCTTGTACCTTCTCCGGTGGAGAGCCTAAAGGTAACTCTAGTGGATTGCTCGTGTTATTGAGTTACCTCACTTGTGGGTAGGTTCTTGCGGTGTCCAATTGTGTGGGCGAGGTTTGCGCAACACCTTTTAGTCACCGAACCATCAAGTGTTGGTCGACACAACAGGGACTAGCGTGCCAACAAGCACGTGAACCTCGGGAGAAAAATTGTGTCTCTTGTGTGATTGGATTTCTCCCGGTGATTGGATTGTCTATATCTTGTGATTGGTTCATTCCTCGACGCGGCGGTATAATAACCTTACTCACTCCATTACTTTTCCGCAAACTAGTTGTAGCAAGCTCTTTAGTATAGCTAGAATTGAGAGCTTGCTCTGTAGCTTAGTTTTATCTAGTGGAGCTCTTTAGTGTAGCATTGTTGAGAGCTCTTAGTGAGTAGTGACATAGCCGTTTGTGTGCATAGAGATCATATTAGGACCTTTCAGCGGGCCTATATGGGCGCGCGAAATACAGGCTCGGGTGGGGGCGTGCTGGCCTAAGCACGGGAAATGGAGTGCAGCGCGGGCGTCCGGACGTTCGGACGCTAGCACTACCGTTGACTAACTGAGGCAGTTAGATGAGCTTGATTTTAACTAGGCTTGTCATTTGATGGGCCTTTAACGGGCCCTATACTAACTGTGCCAGCATTACGGGACAAAAATTTAGCCCAAGCACGGCCCAATGCATCGGGCTGGGCCAGAACGGGCCCATTAACTTTCATGTCATGTTGTGTTGGGGTTGTGTTAAAATAGAGCGTGCCTTGCAAATAGCTTGTGGTCCAGTGGTAGGGCTATCCAGTGGGATGCTACCCACCGGGGTTCAGACCCTGGTGTCGCACCTTTTCTGGAATTTTTCTAGAAATTTTAGAGTACACTCATGCGTGGGCGTACGGTGGTAGTGCGCGTTTCTCACGCACTGGAAGCTAGAGAAGCCTCTCAATCTCTTCTTTGCGTGTGTACGGACACGCACGCGTGTGTGCGCGTGTGGTGTGAGTGTGTAGTGTATGGATTGTGTACGTCCAAATTGTACCCGGTCAAAAAAAAATGGAGCCTGCCTTGTGCCGCCCATGAAGCCTAGCCCATTTGGCCATCTATCTGATTATCACATGCGCCAAGCAATAAATTATGCATGCAAATAATGCTTGATAATTATTGTTGTCAGTCAAAATTTGATCAGAAGAGAGTTGAAGATGGAATGAAAAATCACGTCCAAACAAAAAAGGATTTAATTTGGATTGAATTGTCCAAGTTTGCAAAAACATAGAAAAAATCAACCCAGGTCGGTTTGGGGCCTGCCTGGCTGAAGATTGCTAAAACCAGCACAGACCGGTGTTACCGACCTGAGTCAAGCATATGAACTCACCAAACGCGTTCGAGTCAGATGCTTTCTATATGAGATCAGTGTTGTTGACTCACCATGAGTTTGAGGATGATGTTAGATGTATATATTGTAGTCACTAGAGTAGCCGAGTAGGGTGTTACTACACTTTCTACATCTCTCTATCTTGGCCCTTTAGTCGTTGGAATACACCAGAGTTGCAGTTCCTAACATTGCTGACCAGGTATATCCTGATTCGCGAGTAGTCATGGTGTGGTAATTTCCCTGGCCACGAGGGAGTCACGTCGCGATCACAAATTAGTTCGCCCATGAGATGAGGTTGCGACGGTGGTACGGGATGGAAAGTGCCGAATAAATAGGATCGGGGTTGAGAGTAGCTACACCCTGAAAGTAGAAAATGATCGAGCACTAGTCCATCCTTAGAATCAAATATACACTTGCTTGTTTAGCAGAAGCTTTCGAAGAAGAAGATAGGATGAGCGCACTCCCTGATGAGTGATGATATCCTGCTCCACTTCCTGGAGCGCATATACAGTGTTCCAGGCCAGCACTCTCCTGGTCCTGGTGATGGGCTCATCTCCCTCCCTCGCTCGCTCTCTCATCTCCTGTGCACCTGCACGGTGGATCAGGTATTCAGGTCATGACCGCCTACACAGCATCTCTCCCCTAGTAACCTCAGAGATGTTTATATGTACAACATTTTCGTTGAGTGACCTCTATTGGACTGGCTATATATGTTTGTCCTTGAAGCTGAGCGTCCTTGTTGCCATCAATTGTAACACTTCCTTTGCCTTCTGACTTTCTCAGACTAATTTGTGGAAGATGTCTCGGTGCTTTGTAATTGCCTAGAAAGAAATCATGGTTATCTATAGTAAACTGCAATGGTTAAATTTAAGCTGACCATATATTTCATTCGGTCATGCAATTTTATTTATTCCCACAAAAGCATAACAAGTAGGATTATATTACTGCATGATAACTTTTACCATATATAAATTGTTTCTGGAACATACATAAGCATATCCGTGAAAAGCAAACAGGAAAAATAGGCAGTCAAAGAACCTAACCTACTACTTTGCCTACTGATGAATGCTGACCTAAAACAGGGTTTCGCTTCTCCTCGTGTACTACTTGTTTCTTCGTCTATGTACATTACGCCAAAACAGGCTGATGACATATATAGATAGCTTTGTATTGTATCCAGCATTGTAGTGCCAAGAAAATAATAATGGCTGCTGGCCTTTTTGCATCACCCAGTATATATGATCTTGTTGGATATGTGCTTCGTTTGATAATTTGCTTCTGGTGAGTAGTGATGCTGGAGCCTTGCAGTTTTCTACAAGTTCCATGATGGCACAGGTCAACCTCAAGTCAGTATGCAGACCGGGTTGAGGCTGCTGATGACACACGCTCAGAGCTCTTCACGTTGTATCGCTCATACACTTTTTCCCGGTTCTCATTCCACCAATTTTCCGCCTGATGCTCACCAAAACGCTTCGACTGCGAAAAGTAAATTTCAAGAAAGGCAAGAATTCAGATAAGTGGGACTTTGCAAAGAAATACTGGCTTGTCAATGTTCAATACAGCAGTCCTGGATAGCTATACAGTATTACTTGCTGCTACAAGTAATGGAAAAGGTGCTCGTACCGCCTGCTCAGAGAATAATAATGCAGCCTTTATTTCTCTAAAAAGAATGTGTGGTTTGGAACATTTTGTGTTCAAGAATTTAAAGACAAACGCACTTTAGTTCTTGTTTGGCTGCATGTTTTGAAGTGCTCAGATACTGTATAGTGTCAGGAAAGGTGAAGTGATGTGAAGGGTGCTCATTAATAATAAAGCGACTAAAACAATGCAATTGTCAAGATTTGTAATCTGTATATGGAAAATGCAACTGGAAAAGGGATTAGTCCAGGAAACAGAGATAAATTATAGCTAAATCACCTGAAGCGAACCCTCTTCAGATCCCGGGTCCCATCACGGAGGGTTGTGAGTGTTATGTATACGCCGGGTTCATACTGCTCGATCCATTCAGCCTGAACTTGGTTGCTTGGTAATGATATCGTGCCTCGAGGCTTGTAGCCATCCTCACCGCTTTGAAGGGACATAGCATCCATGCTCACATTATCATCCGCTCTACTGCCTGCTGTCAGCATCTCATCGCTGCTGCTGCGTGCTCTTCGATTAGGAAGCTCCGAGTCGTGAGGACTGGCAATTCTTAGGCTGTGAGTGCTGCAATCACTATGTTCACTCACATTACCCAGTAATTTATGTTGGCCTGAGATTCCATTGCAATGCGATGATCGTCCAGAGCTTGGACTATGTGCAATTGAAGCATTGAGCAACTCATTCCGTGTCTGGTGAATTCCATTCATGCTAGAGTAGCTAGCAACATGTGACTCAATGCCATTCGGAATATGTGATTGCTTTGTCTCATTGACATTATAGGCCCCGTGATCTGGTGGTAATCTCTCAGCCATATCCTTCAGCTACACGAGTCAGAAAAAGGCACACGACGATAAGGATTTACCATTTGTTAAAACAACATACCCACTCATGTATTTAGTTATCTTAAATATACAAGTGACTCCAGTTAACATTTAGCAGGTTCTTTGTAGCAAAGATGATTGTGACAGCATACAGAAATAACACACATCCGATCCGACACTGTTCTTCCCAGAAAAAGAAAACGGGAATTTAACAACAAGACACTGTTCTAGAAAGCGATTTTCAAACGTTGAAAAACTTTACAAGTTGAGTATTTTGTTAGTTGAGTCAGTAAAACATCACAAACCATGAGAAACTAGCAAAATATTAGATTTTACCTGAGCGGTTAAAGATTTTATAACTTCTTTTGCAGCTTTGGATTTTGCAGATTCTTCGGCAACCAGTGTCATGGCCTCTTGTACCTTTTTTGCTGATTTTTGAAGCTCAAGTTCTTGAAGCTCGCAACGATTTCTCAGGTTATCAACCTAATAATGGATAAAAGTACTAATTGTTGCTACGTGATAAACATCAAAAAACAAAGGTTTGACTGAATAATGAGGAATACACACCTGTGCACGCAGTCTTTCAACTTCCTGATTTAAGAGCTCATTTGCTTTAACAATATTATCAGTAGCACTTTTTGAGAGAGAAAGACCATGGGCTGTTGGAACTGGTGTAGTAGAACGTGGTGGAGTGGGCTTGCGAGAGAAAGGGGAAACAGCTCTTGAAGTAGTAACTGACCGAGCTGCAGATATGCGTACTGCTCTTGGAGCTGATCTGTTCATGCCCAAGCCACCAGATAAAGCAATATCACTCAGCTGCAGGAGCGAACTAACTTGAGGATTCCGGAGAAATGATAGCCCATCAGTTTTCTTCCCTTGCCGTGCTGCCTTGATATCCAAATTTCGAATCATATCCATATTACTAGGCAAACTAGCCTTTCCTACTTTAGCATCGCCATTGCTTTCAACAGGTTGGTAGGGAACAGGGTCTTTCCTCCGGTTAGCTGCATTAGGATCCGAGGCATTATTCAACTTCAAGAAACATGAATCACAAACACGGTAAGGTTTCCCAGGACTAGGAGCCAGTGCTGCTCTCAAAGCCTTCCGCGAGGTGCAGGCATTGCAATGGACAAGTCCACAATTATAGCAGTTACGCCTCTTTCGAGTAAACCCAAATGGCTGTCGACATGAGGAACACTGTGATTGGTCAGCTCCAGAAACCCATTTATATTGACAAATAGCAGCAGTGAAGTTAGCACCACAGGCTATGTACCTAACAGCTCTATCTTTCAAGGCTTCAACCAGTGTAGGCACCTTCCGATCCTCTATGTCTCCATGGCCCAATCTTCCATTAGCTCCCTTTCCCCATGTAAAAACTTCACTCCTACCTGTCAAAACTGCGACATGGTAGGAGCCACAAGCAATTTGGATAACTTGTTCACCCACAATCTTGTCTTCAACTAAACAAGGTATCCTTCCATCTGAATGAGGATTTCCGAGCTGACCATAAACAGCATTACCCATGCTCAAGACTTGTCCAGAAGTTGTCAAGGCAACAGTAAGACTGTGACCACATGCTACCCTGTAAAAATCATGATCAATAAGTAGTAGCCACGCAAGTCGGCTTAAGTCGAGTTTCTTTGTCACCATGACCAAGTCGATGCTTGTCACCATCTCCCCATGTGAACAGCTTTCCAGCAGATAGCTTTACACTTGAACTGGACCGAGTGACAATAACCTCCACAATAGCTGCAGTGTGCCATACACCACATGCCACAGCAATTGTTTTCAATCCTGATAGTGACTCTACCTCCCTTGGGTAAGAAACACTTTTCAGATCTCCGTGGCCTAATACACCAAATGAACCATCCCCAAAGGTAAACAATTGGCCCATGGATGTTATCAAGGCTGTATGCCAGGTCCCACATGAAACATAAGCAACTTGAAGACCTTCCAATGCTCCAGAAACTCTCTTAGGTATCCAGTGTCCTACATCATTGCCATGCCCGAGAAGCCCAACATTGTGAGTTCCATCTCCCCAGGTATAAAGCTCACCCGTTGTTGTAACAGCACAAGTATGAAATTCCCCACAGGCAACAAAATCTACATTGGAAACTGTCAAAGACTCAACCAGACAAGGGCGAACACAATCTTCTCGTGTTCCATGGCCAAGGCGGCCTCCAGAATCTTCACCCCATGTAAAAACCTCACCATTTTTCATGACCAATGCAGCATGCTTAACCCCACAATCTACATGATACACATCAAGAACTAAATTGGACTCCAATGGCTTCGGGAGGAGGATGTCAGTCCTGCCAGTTGAACTAATTACAGTATCAGAACCAGTTCGTACTGAAGTATCGCAGACAACCTCACCCCATACATACACATCCCCTAATGAATCACATTCATCTTGTGCAGAACCATGGCTAGATGTACTTGGGGCACTAGAAATGCTTGCTCTGAGAACATCTGAAGATGGCCCCTTTGTGAGCATATTGTTGCATCTGCTCACAATGCGACCATAAAGCTAGGAGAGTAGTACCAATGTAGAAACAGAATCACTACTGCCAGTGATGCAGCGCAACAATGCTGAATTGATGACAGAGGTGCTAGAATAAAGTGGACATGACAAATACCTGCACATATTAACAGAAATGCATAAAAAAATGCAGAAGAGAAAATTGGAGAACAGGTAAAACTTTATGCAAGAGAAAAAGGGCAATAAAGGTATGTGCACATTGAAAATTATGGTACTACATCCTACTATGTGTAAATAAGAATAACATGTTTCCCCAGCAATATTCAGGAAAAAATCCAAAGCAACTAAATATAAATTGAAAGGTCAATTTAGAATTGATTAACAATTATTCTGGATAGGAGTTGACCAAGCTCACAACATTCACTGCCAGAACATATCATGAACAGACCACATTCAAATTCTACATTTAAATTGGATAAATCAGATAGTGCCCATGACTCCACTGAAATTTTTGACGGAGGAAAGACTCCATTGAAATTGGCCAAATAAAACCACCATGAGTATAACTATTACCAACAGTTACTGGCCAGAAACCATAACCGCCAGCGGACCAAGATTTTTGTAAAAGCAGAATGAAACTCTCTTCCAGAACCATGATAGAAGAGTTTTACCAAAAAGAGACAAAAGCTCCTCTGATATTTAAATGAAGTGACTCCTTGTAAGCAGACTTGATGAGCATCAGACAAGTAGGTTACACATTTTGTTGTATTAAAAAACTGGGTGAACCCACAGTGTATGCCAACAAAGAATTTAATGCTGGCAACTTGAAATACTCCACTACATCCTTTTATTCCCCCAAGATAACCATAATCTGCACACGAACAAAAGCCTAACATCAATGAAGGTGTGGGCGTGTGGCAAACTGGCAACATGCCAACCGTCAGCATCACATTTTTTTTTTGTCAGTGTGAGCACTTCTGATGGCATCGTCTATTGACATGTAAATCCACACCACCTGGTGCAATCTAAAAAAACAAGATGATGCAAACAGAGAAAGCATTCCTCAGCCAAGTAGCTTAGCAGTACATTACCATCACAGCTAATATCATCAGGTTGTGAAGACCGAGAAACGCAAACCGCATTCAGGCAACTTTCCTCCCAACGTTACCAAACCAAATCGGTATCAGGGGTGGCTGTAATATGTAAACTACCTACTCAAATTGCCAAGAAACATCAACAACAGAACCGCAGGGAGCAGAAATCCGGAAAATCTACACACTAGATTCTTCCAGAAATGCAAGGAGCCCCCTTTCTGGCCGTACCGGCACCAACTGACTAGGGTGCGCAGAGAAACAGCGAAAAGAACCAAACTTTGCACAGGAACGAGAAAGATTCGCGTACCACAAGCTCCTGGGGGAGACGAAGCGTCAGGTCTCCACGCGCCCAAGAGGCGAAGAACTCTCCTGCCCCTGACGGCTGCCGCACTCCCTACAAGATGGGATTGGATCCACCCGGCGGGAGGTCGGAGCGCCGCCGGAAGCCGGGAGGCCGCCGGCTGGCGTGCACCGAGGATGGATGGAATCAATGCGCCTGCCAGCTCCCCCCTCTTCCCTCTCTCGCTTTCTCACCTTGTGTGCTGTTGATCACGAGAGATGGGCTCCCCCTGTTTGTTCTTTCTTTCCTTCTCTCTCTACGCCTCCTCTCCCATTACTCACCTCACCCCGTTCCTGCTGCTTTCTTTCTCTTTTTGGGCACTCCGGCTCACCCGGCGGTGATGTCTGTACTCATCTCCCCCACATGGCCATGGCCATGCCCACGCCCATCCATCTTGTTTTCTAAGTGCTCATGCTTTGGACTCTGCACTGTGCTTAACTTGTTTTCTAAGGCCAGTCTCAGTGCACCATTTCAATACACTGTTTCCCATAAAAAAATGATGACAAAGCAGCAATGAAACGAGTATTGAAACAACATCCATAGTGCAGCTATTTCACTTTGCCGTTTCCCATGCTTTGCAAAGCAATTAATTGCTGTTTGCTTATCGGATCATATGCATCCTTAATTCTGTAGCCATTTCACAGCAAATTGTACACACGAGCAAAGAGAAACAGCCCCCCAAGAGCTAAAGCGATATATGAGCACAAGTGACATACAACAAAACCGACATTGAAGCATCAGACATTTACTTTTCACAACAAAACTGTAATACATACACAAGAGCAACTTGATAAATAGCATTGATCGACAAATAGTTCTCGAACTGCATTCACATAGTGCAAAGTCTCCAAACTGCACTCACATAGTGCATTGATAAATAGTAGTGATCAAGATAACAGTTCAGATCACAGGAACATATAGATGACTGGTACTTAAGGTAGAAAAAACAAAGTACATATAGCTTGCTACTCTCAGGACAAGCAAAGACAATCATCACTAAAATGAGCTCAAGTGCATATAATAATATAGATATATATTAGATATAAGAGCTACTGAGCTCATCTTCAACCAATCATGACTTCCAAAAGTCCAAATTGCTGCACCCATAGACTCCAAAGAGTTGCTTTCACCCCTGCATAAGTTAAAAAAAAATAGCACAGTATTAGTTCAGTCACAAACAAAGAAATATATATGTATAATTGGTACAAAAAATTAAACATACATGTATTAGCTCAAATTCTGGTCTAGGTGGAAGAGGACCAAATTTATTCCATATATGTTCCACCAAATCTTTCTTAAGTCGACGATGAGCCGATCGATCTCTAATACTAGTATCTTTTTCTAAAACTCTCTCTAATGGAACTTCACGATCCGGAGAGAATTCGGTTCTTGAACGGTTTGTCGAACTAGGAGGAACGTTTAGGTCCAGATTCTCTTCAATAATCTCCGCCTCCTTCTCATCTTCAACTATCATATTGTGAAGTATGATGCATGCTAGCACGACATCACGGAGTACAATACATCAAATAGGCGAAGCGGTAGTTTTAAAATGCAAAAGCTATCATGAAGACACCAAAGGCTCTCTCGATATCCTTTCTTGCCCTTCTTGTTCTGCTGATACCTCCTCTCCTTCTCATCAAGAGGGAGTCGAATTGACTTAACAAATACTGCCCATTCAGGATATATTCCATCACCAAGAAAGTACCCTATGTTGTACTGATTTCCATTCACCATGTACTGGACTCTAGGAGCTTGTCCTTTGAGCTCATTGATAAAAACAGTAGATTGGTTCAAAACATTAATATCATTGTTAGAACCAGCTACTCCAAAGAATGCATGCCAAAGCCAAAGATCATGTGATGCCACTGCCTCAAGTATCAAAGTTGGATGTTTTTGATCACCACGAGTAAACTGACCCTTCCAAGCATTTGGGCATCTTTCCCATTGCCAATGCATGCAGTCAATGCTGCCAAACATACCAGGAAAGCCTCGTCTCTCACCAAGTTTTAGTAGCCGTTCAGTATCTTCCACTGTAGGACGCCTTAGATACCTTGCACCAAATACCTCTCTAACACCTTTGGCAAAATTCTTCAAACACTCCATTGCAGTTGTCTCCCCAATCTTCAAGTACTCATCTAGTGCATCTGCAGAACTACCAGTAGCTAGTTGGCGGATAGCTGCAGTACACTTTTGTAGTGGACTGAGCCCTTGCCGATTAAGAGCATCGACCCTCTGAGTGAAATACGGAGACCATTGGCCCAAGGCATCAACGATGCGCACAAATAGTGGCCTAGACATGCGGAACCTTCTGCGAAAAATATTCGGAGGGTATAGAGGATTATCAGAGAAATAATCATTCACCAATCTTGTATGTGCTTCCTCTCGTGGCCTGTTGATGTGCTGCCTTGGATTCAATCTGTGGTCAGCAGCCTCCTTCTCAAGTTCTTTGACGCTGGACTGTATGAGCAGCTTGGCTTGGTGAAGAACATCATCTATGATCTCCTCCTCTGCAAGGAAGTCATCCAGCGAGTACAACGGAATTGGACTACCTTGAGGACTGTCACTTTCCTCAGACATCTGTGATCAAGCTGCTATTAGAGATGAGGAGAAGAGATGAGGAGAAGAGATGATGGGAGGAAAGAGGTGCACAGGCAAGTAGAATGGGAGGAGAGAATGTATATATATATAGGTGCACGGGCACCACTTGACACCAATTCACACTAGACATACGTACAGGCACCGGTTCACACCGATTCACACTAGAAATCGCATATAGTGCAAAGCATTCACACTAGAAAGCGCATATAGTGCAAGCATTCACAACTAGAAACTGAAACTTTTTTGCATTTACACCTACAAACTGATATAGTGAAGCATTCAAATGATTAAAGTACTGAGCTGCATTGAGACAAAACTCACCTTAGTCTGCAAACAACTTTTCTTCTAACTTGCGTATTGCCTTGTCATGTCTAGCCTTCGATCTTCCCGACATGTTCCCCCTGTATCTTGATGAAGCAAGGAGTTGTACACCTTAAACATCATTGCTGTCATGAGTTTGCATTGGATATCTGAATTTGTGCCTCTCGTGACCTTGTCACGCTCCATCTTCCGATCTTCCTCAATCTTGATAATTTTCCCTATATTATCCCCAAGCATGACAATTCCGTCCTTGACATTTTCTTTCTTACGCTTTTCCATCGCTTTCGCCCTTTGCAAAGCTTCTCCGCCTTGGGGGGACGATATCATGCATCGGAATATCAACTATGTCATTGTTGTCTTTCTCACTCACGAACATTACACACCATTTAGGCTCATCTTTGAGTATCTTCCACCAATGGATCAAGGTAAACTTCTTTCCATGCCTGTTTGCATACATTTTTCGTGTGGCCTCTTCCTCCAAAGATGTCATCTGAGTAACCACTTGTGTGCATTTGACAAACCTTAGTCCAATAGTCATTCCACTCACCAATTATTGTCTTGAGGCGTGACCAGTGCACCTTCAATTGGTTGAGTTCCCTTGTACGCTTCCCATTCCCTTTCCTGTTGAATTCATTAGTGATTTCCTTCCAAAATGAATCACGATGCTTATCATTTCCATAAATTGGGTCCTTAGATATTTCCAACCAAGAACTAGCCAACCGCTCTTCCTCGTCATGAGTCCAAGACCTCAAATTTCTTTGTTTGATGGTCTTGTTAGTTGCAAAGGCTTTCTTCTATAGCTTGTTCTGTACTCTTGTTAGCTGAAGTGTTTTCTTCCATGACTTGTTCAAGACTTCACGTGAAGGTGTTCCATAGGTACTTCTTTGGATGTGGTGGAGACATTGGGTTGAATGCCATATCGACCAATCAAATGAAAGTTCTCTCCCAGGATTGCGGCGAATAGTTTGGTTGACGAATCATATTTACAAAACCACCTTGCGGATATATCCGAAAAAGCAAGTTAAAATGATCATGACTCGGGTTGCTTGCGTACTAATGAAATCACAAACATTTTGCTACCGAAAGAACGCAATGATGATATATACATGATGATAATGCACATGCGGCAAAGAACATAGAAGATGAAACACTAGCACGCTAGCCAATCGAACAAACAGATGAACTCTCCCTTGTTGTCATGCAAAGAAGATCGCAATGAAACACTAGCACGCTAGCCAATCGAACAAACGGTGAACTCCTTTTTGTCATGCAAAGAACAAAACAAGATGAAACACTATTTGAACTAATTGTACAGAGCACAACAATGAAAAGAAACTAATCTACTTGGGGATCGATTGACCATCTATCAAAATCACAAGCAACTAGCAAATAGCAAGAATCAAAATCACAGCGAGTGTCGATTGATTTGAAACAATAGTTCAAATCATACCAAGAGTTTGGGTCTTGTGCAAAATTTGGTGGAATGGAGCCCCATCTTGCTCCTTGCGGAGGACAAGTCAAGTAGCTTGAGAAAGGATCCAGGAGCTTGTCTGGCGGCCTGGCATGATGGGGGTGGGAGTCGGCGCGGTGGGGGAGGGAAGCGCCTTGGCCTGGGACCAACTCACACGGCATGGCATGACGCCGGCCTGCTGGTCAGGTGGGAGACGGCGGTGGTGGTGGGAGTCGGCACATGGTGGGGTGGGAGGCAGCTTCTTGAGTCCAAGCGGCCGCGAGACTTGCCGGACTTGCCTCCTCTGCTGGCGGCGCCATGGCTCGAGTCATCGGCCGTGGCGGATCCATGGGCCGCAGGAGGTGGTGGAGGTCGCCTCGCCTGCCCGCGAGGTGGCGGAGGTCGCGCGCCCGCTGAGGTGGTGGAGGACGCGGAGAGCCGAGACCGGATCCGCGGCGGATCCTTCGCAAGTCCAGTGGATCTCGCGCCTTGACCTAGCGGGCGGGAGGCGGGGCCTGACGCGACTGGGACGGTCGCTCTCGCTTCATGGAAGAAGTGGTGGCGCGCTGAGGAGAGGATGGCGCGGCGGGAAGGATGGCGCGGGAGAGGATTTCGGGGAAGAATATGGCGCGCGGCCGCAGCGGATCGAGGAAGACGAGATGAAACCCCTCAGCGCTGGTTTCATTTCCGTTTCACTCTCTGGGAAACAACGCCAGCACGGTGTCACCATGGTGAAACGCTGGTGCTCTCTCTCCTCCTCGTTCCAATCAAATTGCTGATGTGTCACTATATTTAATGTGCATGGCACTATGGTGAAACCCCCACTGAGACTGGCCTAAGTGCTCGCTTGACTGTATCTGCTGGCCTGGCTTGTGACCTCTCACAAGTAGCCAGCTGGTCGTTAGTCTAGGGAATAGTTCGTTTTTTATGCTGTTGGTATGATCGAGTTGCTCCTCCTGTAAATGCAATTTTATTCCTGCGACGGGCGCTAGGCCATGGGTTTGAGTACTGTTGCTCAGATCTG